CCCGCCCCCCCGTCCGAGTGGGCCGAGCGGAACCGCCACCGCCGGCGGAAAGTTGCGCAAGGGCGGGAGCGAAGCGGGCGGCCGCGGTGCCGCTTTGAGGCGTGAGGGTTTTCAAACGCCCACCCGCGCCCCACACCCCCCTCGTGGCTTTTTTGCGTTGCGTTGGTTTTGGGGTTTGCTTTTTTTTTTTTTTTTTCCTTGAAAGGGTTGAGTGGCTTCTCGTAGACAGACCCTGTGGCTGCCTCCTGCCTGCTCATTTGCATAACACTTGGGTGGAAAATGCTGCTGTTATTGTCACGGGGAAGCGTTATTCAGGAGTTGCTTTTTCACGTAAAGCATTTATTATTTTTTTTTTAAATGCAGTTTAGAAGCCAGTAGCAGTGTTGGCTCTTCCTGTTTGACGGAGGAGTTGGTTCTTCACGAAGCAGGGGCGAGTGAGCGCTCCTGCTCCCGCTGCAGACCTCCCTCTGAGGCAGGGGAGCGAAGGGGAGCGTGTGGGAATGGGACTCTGCCTGTCTGCCTGGGGTTTGTTTGGCTTTGCTTTTTAGCCTTGCTGCAGAACTTCCCTCTGAGCAAAAACTACAGCAAAACTTAGATTGTTTCAATAGAGTATCTTAATTTGCTCACAACCGAAGAGGACACCACCACAGTAGTTAGTCAGGGAACGAGCGTTTAGATCTGTCGGTGTTAAGTTGTACTATTCAGGAGTTAAAATTTATGCAACACTTAGTTTCCTATGAAAAGGATGTACTAAAAAGTGAAGAGAGTGGGTTGAATGTCGTTTATTTGATGAGACAGTATTCAGACATAAATCCAGAAATCGTAACTCTGTGTGAAAACTGTTTGCGTGAGCCTAGCCTCGGCACGGCTTCCTCTCTGCATCTCTCTTCATGGAGTCTAGAAAGACTTTGAAGGAAAAAGTTGTAGGATTTGTCTGGTTCTTCATTAAAAGAAGAATAAGCAGCCTGTGAGCATCCTGTGGGTTAGTTGCTAGGGTCCTGCTCTTCTGTGTTGTCTTTACAAGATGGAATCGAAAGTAAAGAAAGATGAAATGTAGCAGAAATGTGTGGTGGCTGAAGGTCGAAAATATGTGCCTGTGAACAGAAAGCCATACTCCAGAATTCCAGCAGCGCGTGCTCGCTCTGTGCTTTAGTTTGTTTGTGCTACACATTTGAGAGTACATACAGTCTGTTTCCCAACTGTGTACTTGTCTGTTCCACTGAGAAGGAGACAGCCTCTGAAAACTCGGGGGAAAACCTAGACATCAGTAGGAAGTTCAAAGGTAGATGGGGCACCTGACACTTTGCAGTTTCTTTTTGAGACCCAAGTATGCTGACAGGTAAGACAACTGGGTTTTTTAGACCAAAATACTCTGTATCTTCAGCTTGCTGTCATCACTGCTGTTTTTAAAAGGGGGGTAAAAGAAGTTGAACTCTCTATTCAGTTCACACTCTGCTTTTCTTGGCCCTGGAACTAGGAGGTCGGGAAAGGAAGTTGCATTCTCTTCAGGTCATGGTGTTAAGGAGATGGTCAATGCTATGCTGTATTTAATAGCTATGGGAGCTAAAAGGCACTATGTCTTTTTTTTTTGATATGGTGATTATACATTCCTGGTTCCAAACTAAATCTACCCTTTCCCGCTCTATCATCATCTGGTTGTTAATGGCAGCCTGGGTTCTGTCTCTGGGTGGCACTTACATATTCTTGTTGGTGTTCCAGGATCATAAATATCTCAAGAAGATACATCATTTTACGTTATTAAAACTATATTTGTCAAGGTTTAAGTTTTTCCTCCTCTTGCAGCTTAGAGGATGTAATTCCTTTGTTCAAGCTGAATAATTTACTGTTACAGCAGTGTCTGGGAACAAAAATGTTTATTAGAAAGCATGTGAATTTACAGTAAC